TGTATCAGTGTTTATTCTGGAGCCTGACAATTCGGGTGAAAATCAGGATAAAAACAAAAAAACAACAATTTGGTTGAAATCAAATTGTTTGTTTTCATCTATTTAGAATTCTTTCCAAAAAATCTTGGTTCAGGAGGAGGCTTTCTAATTTATTTTGTTCAGTGTATTTGCTGTTGTGTTCCAGCACCATCTGCCTCACAGGTAGCTAACTTTGTGGTAACCCCTAAGTCAGCTGGGCGCGGCCCCCAGGGCTCCCGGGAGGACCAAAGGAAGTCAGGTGCCACCGCAAGGCCTAGCTCTGTCTCGCAGGCAGGCCTGTCTCCGCAGGGAGCCGCGCTGTCCCAGAGCTGTCACTTTTCTGCAGCCTCCCCTCTCCCTCAGCTTCCGGTGGCAATGGGCCTTCCCCGCCTTCATCACCGCCTGCGGCTCTGCGGCCGGCCCCTGCTTGTTTTCGGCTCTCTTCTATGAGTCCTTCGCTATAATGAGATAATGCCGATGATCTTGAATATAATCACATATGGCTGCTGGATCCAGGCACAAGTTTAAATCAAATTAGAAAGTAAATTCACTGCCAAGAATGCTTAAAAGTCATAGGGCCAACTGATTAACCACTGACAAGTCAGTTTCCGACTCTGTTTTCTAAACTGTAAGTGATTCATAGGAGGGGACTAAAAGGGAATCACTCCCCAGACCGAACACTGCAGACAGAAGCAAACAGCCTGCTCAGGAGACGGCGGCTATCAGAAAATGCAAGTCAGCCAAAACCATGTTCATTACCAAATAAGCACACAGACAGAGAAAATTATCTTGATGGCTGACATCATCCTCCAACTGGACAGATAATTTCTGTTTTCCCCTCTCTCAGATGCCATTCTCTCCAAGACTCATATTTCCTCACCAGCTGGCTCCACCCTTCCGAGCCAGATGTTAGATACCCCAGGCTCTGGGTCGCAGACCCCTGACCCTGCTCCAAGCTGTCAGGCCCTGCCCAACCCCCCACCCCACCCCAGGACCCACCTCCCTCACCCCAGATGCTCCCTCCTCACCCCCACTACCAAGGTTTCATGCTACCCCAGCCAGGGCCTGCCTCTCAAGAAGAGCCGAGAGTTCGACTACCCAGCCCAGCCTCAAACAAGACAGGCCAGGGTGTCTGACCACCTCAGCACATAGAACGCGGGCACTGCATCTGGGCAGAACTGGGCTAGTGCGTCAATGTCCGTTTCTCCCTAAGGACCAGTAAGAGCCATTGCAAGACATTTAAAAGCCATTTTCTTGAACTTGTTTCCCCCAGGTAAGGCAAGAGATCAATAATGCCATTATATAGCCACCCTAAACTAAGAACAAGCCAAGAGGCCAGGCTTGGTGGCTCATGCCTGTAATCCCAGCACTTTGGGATGCCGAGGCGGGCAGATCACCTGAGGTCAGGAGTTCGAGACCAGCCTGGCCAATATGGTGAAACCCTGTCTCTACTAAGAATACAAAATTGGCTGAGTGTGGTGGCAGGCACCTGTAATCCCAGCTATTTGGGAGGCTGAGGCAGGAGAATCGCTTGAACCCCGGAGGTGGAGGTTGCAGTGAGCCAAGATTGTGCCACTGCACTCCAGCCTGGGCAACAAGAACAAAACTTGTCTGAAAAAAAAAAAAAGAGTGTCGTGGCTCATGCCTGTAATCCCAGCACTTTGGGAGGCTGAGGCGGGCAGATCGCGAAGTCAAGAGATCAAGACTATCCTGGCCAACATGGTGAAACCCCATCTCTACTAAAAATACAAAATTAGCTGAGCATGGTGGCAGGCACCTGTAATCCCAGCTACTTGGGTGGCTGAGGCAGGAGAATCGCTTGAACCCAGGAGTTGGAGGTTGCAGTGAGCTGAGATTGCACCACTGCATTCCAGTCCGCGTGACAGAGCGAGATTCCGTCTCAAAAAAAAATAAAAACAAGCCAAGAAACACAGGCGAGAGCTTGAGCCAGTGCCCTGAGCCCTGCCCACCGCAGACAGCAGCACCGGGGAAATGGGAGGGTGAGGGTTCTCGTGGTCAAAAACATCCATGTGGAAGAAGCTACCACTACCATGAGCTCCCTCTGCCAGCCATGTTGTTGTGAGTGTTTGAGAATTTAAGCAGAAACCATTTAGAATAATAAAGCCTGCTAACAGGCTAGACACTTCCTGTCGGAGGCCACAGGCCATCCCGAGCCCCACCATCCATCACCCGCTCCGGGACAGTGGGGCTCAGGACCCAGGACACGGAGTGACGGGAAGGGGTGGACTCAGCTTTAGGACTGCTGCCCCACCCATCTCCTCAGGGTATTCAGTGGACAGAGATGTTTAGAGTTTGACATGCAAAATTACGTTACGCTTAACTCATCCAGGCTGAAAAATGGAAGCCTTTAGTTAAACCATCTCTCACCTGGACACAGGGGCAGCTCTAACCCTCAGCCACCCAAGATCTGGACCCACAGGCCACTCCAGGAAACAGAGAGGCTGGCTGAACAGTCCGGAGCACTCAGGTGGCACCTCCTTCAAAATACCTGCTGGAACCCACAGGAGCCTTGGCTCACATCACAGGCTCACAAGCCTGACTCACAACTCAAGCTGATTTCGTGGCAAGAAAGCATCGCAGAGGCTGACGCCCACTGACAGCCCCTACCTAGAGGTGAAGGCCAGGCTTAGGCAGGAAGAGCCAGCTCTGGGTTTAGATATTCAGCAGAGAGCTTGCAAACCTGGATCCCTGCCTCCTCTCTGACCACTAGTATTTGCAACTGAAAGCCAACATTTCCTCTGTCAAATTTCTTTTGTCATGTTCATATTAAAATAACTCCAAGTGTAATATTTGAATCTGAAAGGCCGCTTTAGAGAGGAGCCAGATGGGCCAGTATCAGATAGCACAGGATGGGCAAATCACTGCTGTAGCTTCAGGCAAAAGAAGAAAGACCTGCTAGTTTTTCTGAGGACTTTTTGAGGTTTGGGGTTTTTTTAATGCGTTTTGTGAAAATTTTGCAACTCATTTTGGCAATAACCAGATTTGTAAAGGCCTGGAAGAGGCTTCTAAGCATCGGTGATCCATGTTAAGATCTGAGCATGCTGGAAAGGAGGCAGATGGGGAGTTAAAAGGCAAAGCCCACGTTCTCATGATCTAGTCCAGAGCCCAAAGGAAGCTGCTATGTGCTCCAGCTTCCACGGAAGACTCCCCACATCCTGAGGTCTGACAGAGTTCATGGCTTTAGAGGCCAGAGTGTCACTCATGGCAGGAGTCAGGGTCCCTGCCTTCTGTGTGACAGGAGCCTAGTCACCTGCCAGGAGACCTAGTGGCCTCAGTGGCCCTGTGCTTTGGCTGGCCAGGCCTAACGCAGGTGCTGCTGGGGCCCTCGCTGGGGACCTGTCCACAGGGCTGGGTTCTTGGCTGAGTCTGGTGGAGACGGAGGGACTCACCCTGGAGGCAGGGGGGAGGGGGTGACCGCTGGCTTGCTGAGGCTGCTCTGCAGACCTCTGCCTTCCCCCAGCCTCTCCCAGGACCCTCTCAAGATGAAGGAGAAAGGAAACCACCCCACATGTCCTCAGCCCGGATGTCTGAGGGCCTGTGGGGCATCCCAGCTGCACTCCACATGCCCAGCAGCTCATGAAGCCAGGTGTACACCAGGCCCACTGTGCAGAGGTGAAACTGAGGCTGAAAAAAGGCTTAAGTGACTTGTCTGGGGGGCTTCAGCACAGTGACACAGCCTGGAATAATTCTGTGTTCCTTCCAGCCCCAAACACTTTGCAGGTTTCCAAAATGTCATGTCCTCCAGAATCACCCAACAGCTTGTCAAAAGGCAGTGCCCTGCCGTGGCGCATGCCAGGTGAGGCCTGGCCTCCCGGATGAGCTGTGTGCTCAAGGTCCCTGCGAGCAGTCTCGGAAGCATGGGGACGGGGACAGTAGAGGCCTTTCCACCTCCAGGTCTTAGGTCAGAGACTGGCGCCTGGCTGTGCTCATTTACTAACTGAACAAATGTTATGCAGAGGGATTCTGGACTGAGTGGGAAAAGTCAGTTCTTACAGGTTCCTGGAACTCAGGGCCATTGTGTAAGGACAGTAACAGAACTCCTCCGTTTTCATTTCCAGATGCATTTTTCATGTTAATCGTTCCAAGCACTTAACGCGTGAACCCCGGGCACTCACAGAGCACCTGGGTGCAATCCTAATTAAAGGCGGAGGCCTTGGTCAGTCCGAGGACCACCTCATTATCCTAACAACTGCCTGATGGGCAAAATGCACAGCCTCTTTGACAGGAAGAGAAGCGATTTAGAAAACAAGAGGTTTCATATTGCCTTCCAAACTCACGGGAACACTTTCCTTCCTGCCTTTCCCTGCTGGTGGCCACAGTCAAACCTGAATGGGGAAAGCCTGGGTGTGGAGTGAGACTTAGGTTCCATCTGTGGTGTCCCTCCTTGCTAGCTGTAATGCTTGTCTGAGCCTCAGTTTCCCTATCTATAAAATGGAGACAACGATGTCAACATCGCCAGCTTGTTCAAGGGTGAAGGGAACTGACGCGTGTTCTGTGCATAACACTGCCAGGTGCTCTGCAGACACTCCAGATATCACCCAGTCATCAGGCAGCTAATTTAGGACGAGACGCCTGCACTCCACTCAAGACCTCTTTCCTAATTGGGAACACCTCTTTCCTCAACCAATTCAGACCAATTCAAACCATACACGACCTTCAGAGGCAGCTCAAGGCCACCCTCCTCCAAGAAGCCTGTTCTGCCCATGGCCATCCTCCCAGGCCCCCCTGCCCCCGCACCCTCTGCAGCGCGGCCCGCACGGCGCAGCTTGGCACTCAGCGTGGGTCACCAGGACAGGCCCGTGGCTCTGCTTCTCTGGGTCCCACTCTGTGCCCCGCACAGTCTTCAGCACCTCCGTCCTAGCTTACTGCTGACCGATGTGATCAGTGGGAATTCTGGCCTGTTGGGGTGCGTGAAAGGCCCCTCTGTAGACTCCCGCCCTGCGCCCGGTTCTGCACAGTACCTGGGTTCGCAGCCGGTCCACCTCTTCCGACAGGCTCTGCCTCTCCAGGAGAAGCTGGTTCTGCTTGTTGAGGAGCTGCACCAGCTGCTGGGCCGTGGCCTGGCTGTGCTTATCCAGCTGCCTTAGCCTGGAGAAAAATCCAGCGCAGAATTAGAGAGGGCTAACGGCAGGCACCTGCCTCTGAACAGGCTCTGGGGCGGTGTGCATGAGGGAAGCCCCTGATGAGGGTCCACGAGCAGGACACCTAGGGTGACCCTGAGGTGCCAGGCTCTGGCTGGCAGTGGGCCCTTGCTACGCACTGTGTGAAGGTGGGTAACATTCTAGCAAATGTGCGTGGGGACCGGGAGCCATCTCAGTACACTGTCAATTAGAAAACAACGCAGATGAGTAGGGTTAGGAGAAGAAAAAAGGAAACTTTGAACTCCCAAGCAGAGGTCAAAGATGAGAGGCCTAAATGCCTCCATTGTTCAGCTAGAAAGGTCTCGGGCAGGCTGAGCAGACGCCGCCCCGGCTGGGGAAGTGGGTGAGGGCCGTGGAAATACTGAAGTAAGGGCTTTCCATTATTAATCACTCAGTCAATCACGAGCTCCGGCATCACTGACCAGATGTCTTTAAAGATCCTAAATTTGTCCTCTCCAGACTTGCTAATTCACTGAGGCCATTATCCTCATCCGTCCACAGTCGGCTTCCTACAGCCAGGAGAACACGCACCCATGGAACTGCTGGCTTTGGGTCACATTTGGAGTTAAACCACTACCCAGAAGTGTTCCGGAAAGAAGGGAGACGCGTGCCCTGCCGCACCGTCCACGCCCATCAAAAGCACCAACAGGCACTTTAACTTGGATTCTCACATGGAAAAGGCAGTAAAGCTCACGGTGCATTTCAAGCTGCAGGATCCTGCGCCGCAGACCTCGGGGGCTGCCCTCAGCTCGGGTTCTCCTAGGGCTCCAAGCACAACGAAACACTGACATGGCCAAATGTTTGGGCCTTCAGGTTGGGAGAGGTTCCTCCCCACAAAAGGACGCGCACGTGGGCACAGGCACCAATGCCCCCGGGGACCGGCCACGGTCCCTTGCCCTCCTCCCACCCTGCTCTGCCCATACCCCGTTTCCCACCGGGTTCCCCCCGCCCTGCCCCCCGCCCTTCTCAGCCTCCGACGGATTTGGCTGGAGTCTTTGGTCAAGGGGCCCGAGCCCCCAGCCTGGGCACTTCCCCAGAACGCTCCCTGACTCCCAGTTTTCAGCCACACCCAGCGTGGTAGCATGGTGCTGGTCGGCTGGGGCGCCCTACCTGTGCCGGGGAGGCGCGGGCAGCAGCTGAGACACCCTCCGACCCGCAGAGCCGGCACTGCGCATGCTCCCAGGACGCCCCGCCCCCTGGGCTGAGTGGCTCCGACTGGCCACGCCCACAAGCCCGCACCTGCCCACGGGCCTCGTGCTGCCCGCAGGTTCTGGAAAAAGTGTAAGGGCTCAAGGACGCCTTAGCGCCTCTTTCGAGGACAGGTGCTCCCTCGACGGCGAGCCTGGACAACAGCCGGCCTGGCCCTGCCCTGCCTCCAGGATCAGGCTGGGCTCAACAGAACAGCAAAGATCTTCCATCCAAGAGGAGTGTTTACCTGCGTGTGTGCTGTCTACATGGCGATGCTCCAACGCCCCACCTCTTCCCACCTTCTCTGATCTTGGAGGAAAAGGTTTCCTTCTGGCGATACCTAGGGCATCACTGCTCTGAGAAGCCTCATCCGTCCCTACCCGTCCCCATCCTGCTGGGGCTGAGGCACCCTTTCCTGGGAGCTACTCTCAAAGCCACACCACTGGGGCAGATCACAAAAGCTCTGCTCCACCGCCCCCAGAGCCTGGGCCGTCCTCAGCAGCGAGGGCCCGGAGAGAGGACTTCCCAGGCCAGGGGCCTGGGGAACCTGCCTAGGCCGACCCTCCAACACAGGCAGGCGGCCGCCATTCATCTGAGAACCCTCCCTGCTGTGGGCCCAGGAGTGGGTCCCGTTGAAGAGACAGAGATGGTAACAGCTCTTTTCCTTGAGAAGCAGACAATCTGATGCTTCTGTAGTTAACTCAGGCAGGTGAAAAGCATCATTAGCCCTTGAGCTTTGGACCCTAAAGTGGCTTTTCCCCTCCCATGAAGTCCTGCCTGTGCAGAGAGCCACTGGCTAAGTGCAACTGATGCAGCAGCCCTGTGGCTTCCTGCTTGCTTCGAAAGAATGGAGCAGAAACGTGACAAATGACACCATGACATGGCTCCGGGGTAAGAAGGTGCCACGAGACATGCGACAAATTACACTTGACATGGCTGCACGGTGAGAAGGTGCCAGGAGCAGCCATTGTCCATGTGGTCCCTTGCCCTGTTCTTGGATCAAATGGGACAATGGTCTTTTGGATGGATGGATTCAGTATGTGGTTAGAACTCCTGAAAAAGGATGGCAGCCCATCCAGGGCAACAGACAAGGCCAAAGTCACTCTCACAGCATAAATGCCGGTCATGGCAGGCCACCCTGGCTCCACCTCCAGCAATGGGGCCTGTTCTGGACTAGACCTTCCTCCTATGGAGCCCTCAGAACCTGGAGGAGGCTTAGTTCAGAGTGCTTTGCAAACTGGGGGCCTGGGAAGGCCATAGTGATTACTGGGGAGGAGGAGGAAGGAGACCACCCAGACCCACTGAATCAAGTGGCTGGGTGTGAGCTCTGCAGGGCCGCAGGGGACCAGGTGACCAGGGTTTCCATAGAAGCGCCCCTGCTGTGAGGAGTGAGTTCCCTGAGACCACGTTCCCAGCTAAGAGCTGAGGATGGAGTCCAATGGACTCATTTTTTAAACCATCATGAAGACTACCAATATTATAAATATTGGGAAAAGAGATTTTTTTTTAAAGTTACTTATTTTTGGAAAAGCCTCCAACCCTGCACGACAAGCCTACCCTCTGTGAATGGATGTTTCATTACCATGATTCAAAGGAGATTTCTTGGGGTTTCCCAGACACATAAGCTCTTTTCTCTTCCATGGTGGTTACTGCTCTCTCCTATCTGTGGTCCTGAGTTCACCTATTCATCCACCCACAGCTCCACACAGCACCACTGATGGCTGCTAACGCCTACTGAGCCATGTGCTTACTGCGCCACCATTACCTATGTAAATTTAATCGATTAATCAATAAACTAGCTATTACATTAGATGATTAATTAAAAATTCACTACAGTCCTAGGAGGTACACGCTAGTATTATCCCCATTTTACAGATGAGAAAGCAAGCTGAGACGTTAACTTGCACAAAGTCACACAAGTAATTGGTTGAGCTTGGAGTCAAATCCAGGCAGCACCTGGTGTCCTTAACCATTGTTAATGGTGGTTAATTCACTGAGTTAATTCACCGAACAAACCAACTCAACGGTAAATGCCACTTCTTTTTTTGAGATGGAGTCTTGCTCTGTCGCCCAGGCTGGAGTGCAGTGGCATCAAGTTGCTCACTGCAACCTCCGCTTCCTGGGTTCTAGCGATTCTCCCGCCTCAGCCTCCCGAGTAGCTGGGATTACAGGTGCGTGCCACGGGCTAATTTTTGTATTTTTAGTAGAGACGGGGTTTCGCTATGTTGGTCAGGCTGGTCTTGAACTCCAACCGCCTCGGCCTCCCAAAGTGCTGGGATTACAGGCGTGAGCCACCGCGCCCAGCCAGTAAACACCTCTTAAGGGTCAAGTACTAAGGCAGGTACTGGGATTCCATCAAGAATGATAAATGCTTCCTGCTCTTGGGAGGTTTGCTGCCAATGGAGGAGAGACCCACTTGTGAAGAAATGTGCTCAACTCCAACAGGACACCATGAGGGAAGAAGTGGTCAGTCTTACAGATGAGAGGCCTGGGAGGGCTTGCGCCTGCCTAGATATCTGCCGCTCCCCAAGGCTCGTCATCACCATGTCCTGAGCACTTACTTGTCAGGTACTGTACGTATTGCTTGTTTAGTTCCATGAGCAGGAACCAATTATTATGCCCACTTCAAGAATGAGGAAACTAAGGCATAGACGACATAAATTATTCATTCAAGTCACTCAGTGGGCAAGCCGGGATGGAAAGGATGAGTGGGTGGGGTTCTGTCGGGGGGCAGGGGCGGGGCCTTCCCACTTCGGGGCGGCAGTGCAAAGGGCACTGCATGTCTGGGAACTGCAAGCTGTGCGGCGTGGCTGGAACAGAGGCTGCGGGCTGCTGGGAGGGAGGTGACGCTGCGCTCTGTGGCCAAACCAACAAGTATGGACTTTGTCCTGCAGGCAATGGCAGTGCCATTTACGGGACAGTGGATGGCAGGAGGGACCCGCCTGGAGGAGAAGTTCTGGGGTCAGGGTCAGTCCGAGGTACCTGTGGACAGGCACTCACAGGCAGTTGCGCAGCGTGGGGTTTAGGATGGGCCGAGCTGAGCTCTAGCTGAGTGGGCCAGACCTGCCGGGAGGCGAGGCCACGAACGTGGGGGCCGGATTGCCTGGGAAGGGTTGGCAAACATTGTCAGTGTGGGACGCTCCCTAAAAATGCGGATCTCTGGCCCGCAGGCCCCGCTGGCGGAGAAGCTCTGCTGCAGTGAGAGGGAGGGGAGCACCCCAGGTTGGGGCTTTAGGGAACCGCTGCATTCAAGGGCTGGCAGCGGACAGGAAGCCGGAGAGACACTGAGAGTGGGATCCTAGAGGGAGGAAAACCGGGAGAGAGATCTGGAGTCCCAGGAGGAGAGGTGTCAGGGAGTGGCCAGTTTGCGGGAAATACCACCTGGTGGCGGAGCGCCAGGCGGAGGCTCCTGGCTGGGGCAGAAGCCAGATGACTGGGGGCTGGAGGAGGGGCTGGGCTGCTGGGAGGTCGCAGGACGGGGTGCGGAGGGTGGAGCCACCGGAGCTGCTGGGGAGGCGGCCCTGGAGGAGAGAGGGGCGATCTTCAAGGCAGAGGAGCGCGCCCTCCGCAGAAGCTGGGACCCTCCTCCCCAGGCCAGAGGCGAGGCGGGCGCGGTGCTGGTGCTCAGCAGCCTCCAGGATCCCCTACGTAGGGCACGACTGTTGGCTGAGAAATGGGACAAGGCAGCGGGAGGCTGCTGCGGGGACGAGGGCGCCGGCGGGAGGCAGGGACACGTTGCCAAGCCAAGCCGAGGGGGCG